ACAAAACATACAGTTTTTACTGCAGCTCCATTCGTTTTTCACATGCAACATTGTCATCTGTTCTTTACACTCTCTACAACACTAATACCTGAGGGGATTCACGACAGAGAAATCTCTTAGAACAGACTGTCCAGTTAAAACTACACTTTCTATTCATTGCAACCAGGCTAAGAAATCTGGTTTAAACCAAATAATAATAATAAACCAAAGCCTTTACTGTGCACAAGCTTTCCTTCTGAAACACTTAGAAACCACATGCCAGAACTGTCCTATTAGAATTACTTTATGGGATAAAACGCTTCTGCAACTGACAATTCATATTTAGTCTTAGTCATCACACAGATAGGTGGACATGAGTAATTTGCCAATTCCTTTTTAAACTACAGTCTGACAAGATCGGACAACCACAAACCTATACCACTTCTTCTCCTTTCCTGAAAAACTTCTATAAAACTCTCCCAGTCACGAGGGGGGGCTCAAAAGCTACCCCAGCACACCAGAACAACAGAACAGCACACAAGGCATCCCACCTGCAGGAGAAGTCTATCTTAAAAGCATTTACAATTGCTATGAATAGTTACGGCTGCTTCCAGAGAAGGCAAATTCTGAAGTTTAAAACATCACATTAACTTCTTGGTCTGTAGTGTGGGAAGAATGCAGAAGATATGGCACACATTTGCAAAAAGAAGCAGACAGGAACACAAGCACAGGCTTTAAAACTACAAAGTTCTAGCAAAGCCCATGCATCACTTCAGTGACAGCAGAAGTGTGAAGAGAGACTGAGAAATGCCTGGGTCTCCTGTAACAGTCCAACCCATCTACTCTGCCCCAAGTCTCACTGCTCGTAGGTGCCTCTGACCTTGACCTTGCCAATGACCTGATTTGAGGGTGACAGTATAGTAGCTGCAGTTGTCAATGACCCTTGCTCAGCCCTTTGGCAAAGAATGTGCATCCCATGCTGGAATTACAAAGTTCTACAAAATTCCCTTGATACCGTGGAAATGTTGATGACCTGCCTGCAGACTTCCATGGAAGGAAAAAGTGCCTTCACTTAGGAGCTCCTTCCTGCCTATGCAACAGTAATGGAGAATCTGGGTAATTTTTCCTCCCTCTTGGAGAACTCTGAAATGTGGAGAGAGTCATTTTGCTGCATCTCCTGCTGAGCACATTAAGAGAGCTAGTGAAACTGCTAAGAGTACATCATTTATTACATGGTAATACCACCCAACTCTCAAGCCTTAATACTGTCCGGTAACGCAGATTGGTGTTTTGGCCAACATCTAGTCCGGAACATGGGACTGTTGAGAGAACAGAGCAGGTGAGGAAAGACAAACTGAGTGATGGCATTCATTGTGATGGGGAGACAAATGTGTTTGGAGGAATTTCACCTTTCTTGAGTGAGGAAATGCATTAGCTATTAGTCATCAGCATTTGTAACTGCGAAGGAAAAGGAAGGGAGTGTGACTTCACTGCCTTCACTGCTGTAAAATTATCATTACAGCAGAACCAGGTCCAGGTACCCATTCATCCAAGTACTTACAGGCTGCTCATAAATATTCTCCTTTTGAAAGAAAAACACTAAATGTCTAGATACAAGGTGAAAAGGTAGCTTTTTTTTTTCCTTCCCAATGCAGGGCTTATTATCCACACTTGTGATGCATCACTTGAAATATAGGACACTGGATAGTAATAAAGATTTAAAGTGACAAAGACAGCTGTTTAATGATGTGATATTATTATTTATGCAAGGCTCAAAGAATCACACACTTCATAAAGACAGAAAGAAACACAGGCTCTGCCCTGAAGAGCTCAGAGGCTAACCAAACAACAAAACAATGATGGATAGTATCCTACAAGCAGATGAAGGAGGTATTATGCTGTTGAGTCTGCTTATCTTCAAGCTCAATACAAGCAGAGGATGAGAGATGGGGTTAACTTTAAAGGAGAAGCAAGGAGTAATAGGATTAAGCAGGACAGACCAAGTGTCAAAGCAGGAATATGTATGAGAGAAGGCAAAGAAAAGAGAGTGGGTGATGGAAAGAAGGCAAGTGAGTCATGAAACTTGGCTAGACCAGTGGATAAGGAAGTGAGTAGCTGAAGGTTTGGAGGGAATGACTATGTCATTCCCTAGCACAGGGATAGGCAATAGCTAGAGTGTTTCTCTTTGGCAAAATGAGAGAAAAGCCCAGAACAGACGTGAAGAAGGTCTGGAGTTAGCGTTTACAGCAGCAAAGTGATAAATTTCAGCAACCCACTGCTGAAGAGACCACGATTCCAAGACAGGAATAGAGAAACATAGCTGTGGTTGAGAGATGAGATGATCTCAGATACACATTAACGAGAAAGTACAGGAACAGCGACTCTGCTGAGAACTAGAGAAAAGGACTTGGTGAAAGATGATGAGAATCATTTCTTTTGTGTGCAATACATTCACTTCACAGCCTCTCAGTGCTTCATCACTTCTGACAATGACATGTCCAAATAATAAAATAATAAACTGAGGCGAAACTACAGATGTGGGAAGAAGCCACTAGTAGAGAAGCATGACCTAAGGGCAACAGTCTTTTGAAGGTGGTTGTAAATACACATTTTAGTCTGAAATTAGAGACAGGAAGCCTCTTGCAGTGATCTATAATAGAAAAGAGAGTGTATCACAGTCCAAGTGCCTGAAGTGTTCAAATGTAGAGCCTAGTACAGGCCTATTTCCAGATCTTCTAAGGCTACATTTTTGTTCTTCATTGACACACAGGAGTTTTTGAGAACAGGTCAGAATTAAAATGTTGTGTCTGTTCACATACATGCACAGAAAGAAACAGTGGAAGTTTTCCAAACTGACTTTAAAACTTAATTTTCCTTGAAATTATTAATATTCTACTGTAGTAAAAGAAATAGGAACAATAAATGGCTAGATAAAATGGTTAATAACTGTGACAGATGTGTACCTTGACAATCAGATTTTTCTAGTCTTTTAATATACTTAAAATGATTTATATGTAATAATGCATACAAAGAGCTTGCTTTTTAAAACTAAAACCCAAACCTAACGTTTTATGTCGCTTTACACACATATTGGCAATCTGATTATCCATTAATTTCTCTACAGTTTTCAGTCAGTCACTTAAAAGCAACACACACAAAATTCACTTAAGGAAATCAATAACAAATTACATTTTCTTCTGTTCTCAGTCTGGAATTTGTACAATATGGGAAAAAAAAGTGGAATACCAAGAGGACAGACATCTCCAGCAAATATGCACAGAGGATGTGAGCCAAGGCCTTGGTTTCAAAAAGTAGGCATGCATTTCCATTTTTAAAAACTGCAGGTGATTGTCTATTATTTATGTACAGATGCTGCGACTGTGAGTGGAATAATCACTCCATGTTTCAATGAGGAGCATAATTACATGGGTATAGGTTTGAGAAAGCAACTTCATGACTAACTTCTTGGAAGTCATATTTTAAAGGCAATTCTTTTGACTGTGAAGATGTTTCTAGTGTGTTGCATACTCATTTAAATGAGTACTATGTAACACCAGGCTATTTTCAGCTTCCAGAAGTAAGAGTTCGTGGCTTGAGTTATTTGACAGCAATGTGTAACTGGAGAAGTCATTTAAGTGTGATGCCTTGTTGTCAAAATTGTATTATTAATTCCTCTGGATGAATACCACAGCAATTACATCCACAATCTATCAGATCTTTGATAAGACAAGCACATGACTGAATAATTTTTATATAGAAACTGACTTGCTTGTTTTTCTTCTCTACTTCTGTAACAGACAGTAATTAATTCATCTCAAGCAAGCCTGTCCATCTGTTAGATGCTGAAGCACATTTAGGGCTATTCCAAAAGGTAAGTAGGTGATTTTATTAAGTCTGGAAACATTTCAAACTTTCTTGCATATTTTTTTCCTCTCATTCGAGCTGAAATACAATTTCAGATGCAGCTCAACCACATAAATGAAGTAACTGCTCTGCAGGCTGTTACTGCAGCAAAGGCTTTTCAGATATGTTTAAAACAGCATAAAGAAAAAAGCAGAAACAAAACCAGATATGACAGCAGACTAGAAATACAACATACACATGTGACACCAGGCTGAAGCAGCAGGATCCTTGTCCTGGAAAAAGGAATTGATGGTGTGATGGTGGCATGCACACTTCTTGTGTGGGAATACAGCAACAGAAAGATGCACAGAAATTAGAATCATAGAATCATAGAATAGTCAGGGTTGGAAAGGACCTTAAGATCATCTAGTTCCAACCCCCCTGCCATGAGCAGGGACACTACACACTAAACTATGCCACCTAAGGCTCTGTCCAGCCTGGCCTTGAACACCTCCAGGGTTGGAGCATTCACAACTTCCTTGGGCAACCTATTCCAGTGCCTCACCACCCTCACTGTGAAGAACTTCTTCCTTATATCTAACCTAAACTTCCCCTGTTTAAGTTTAAACCCATTACTCCTTGTCCTACCACTAGAGTCCCTAATGAAGAGTCCCTCCCCAGCATCCTTGTAAGAAGTGAGAGAATATCAGCAACTAAGTAAGTTTTCTGAGGGAAATGATGTCTAAGGGAAATACATTGGAGACATATAAACACCAGGAATGGTTGACATGGAAAAGAGTGAACTAAGTGTTCCGTTTTTATAGCTCAAATCTTCATCATTTTGTTTAAAGCAATGAAAGGTGAGGAGTATTAAACCGCCTCTCAAGCCAACTTACCTAATCCAATAATGCCCAAGGTCTCCCCTCTGATCCTGGCAGCTCCAGAAGCCACTTCCCGAATCTGTTCAACACTCTGTACTCTCGTGCCTTCTCGCAAGGCCTGGTGGAGCCAGGTGGTTCGCCTGTACAGGTTCAGAATGTGGCACATGGTAGAATCTGCTGTTTCTTCTACCGAGGCAGCTGGCACATTACACACTGCGATCCCTGCAAAGAGTGGGGGGAAAGGATACCAGTTGCCAAACATTTCTTATTTTTTCGTATTTAACAGCAAATTCAGGAGTATGAGATTTAAATTTACAGATCTACTTCTGCCCAAATATTAGGTTTCTGACTGTGAGGGCAGACAGATCACTTGATGTAATAGTTGACAGATATGCACAAACGTATGTTTTCTGATTTTTCTATTACTATTTATTGTGTTTGCAAACTAAGGCAAACATTAGATAGACCACTGAAACCACAAAAGGAAAATACTAAAGATGTCAGTTCACAACACAAGTATTGGTAAGTGTTTTACATGCACACTGAGCTAGGTGTTTTGAACAGCAAAGAGAAATTCAACTTGGTCTCAAAAGTGACGTTAATGGTCATTGCTAAGGTATCTATACAAAATACCTTATATATCTATACAAGTTCTAAAGAATATAAAATAATTTATGATGACAACAATTCTTATAAAGCCCTCACAGGACGACTGTTAGTATTTCCAATTCATGTATGGGTAAACAGGACACAAGGAGGGATGATTTGCTTTGTGTTGGACATGCGTTTGTACAATTACATCAAACAGAATCCAAGTCCCTTTCTGGTTGCTCAAATTAAGGAGATAACCCATCTAACTGTCATTAGGGACTCACAGTATTTTTCATTTCAAAAAATACATCAGGATTGTAACTGCACGCAAGTTAGGCCATTCTGCTTTTTAGCTTCCAGTACTCAATAACGAGCAGCTAAGCAAAATGGTTACTTGAGAATTTGTGTCCTTTTTGACTTCTCTCTCTTTATTCTTTCTATTTACTACATGTTCTCTCTCTAATCACCAGCTCCCACATATGTTTCTCTCTCAGTTCTGCTGACTGAGATCACAAGGAGTATAATTTCACGGTGGAGAAAAAAGTGGTTTGTATCCTAAAAAACATCCTAATACTGTTTTCACTGCCTAGTTGTTCGGGTTTTTACATAAATAAATATTCAGTGAGTCCTCAGCTAACGCCAGTATAGCTTATGAAGCAAGGAAAGACACATTCTCTTCAATAATAACAGTAATCTGATAAATAATAAGCTCATACCATATTCATCTATGTTTTACATTCAAATGCCTTCATTCTGCTGCCCAGTGCTTTTTTACAGCTTGTTCTACATCAGTAAAATCAACATACGGAACATGCAGAACTGTTTTTCTTCCCTCTGCTTGTGAAGATACAGTGTCTGCTGAGTCACTGCTCTTAGACTTAGAAACTAAGATAAACCAGCATCATTTGCTGGAATATTAATCTTGGCATCGTGCTAACATCGATGGTAGCATGAAACTCCCCATTTTTTCTTTAAACGGGGAAAAAAGCATGAGTGGGGGGAAAAGTACAAGACTGAAAAGTAACACGCCTTTAAATGCATTGTATTAAACAGCTGCATTTGTTTATACAAAAAGTCTTTCAAGGAACAAAAATGCAGATTTTAGATGGCAAAACAAATTTAATATGCATGTCCCCTGATAGCTGGCATCAACAAAATAATGCTTTTAAGAGAGCTTAGTTATATTACATATTTGGGAAGGGAAGTAAGAAACTGAATTCACTGTACACCTTCCTCCCTAACAGGTTTCCTTACGAGACTTGAGGAACAAAATTCAGGTACTTTCTCTCCTAAACTGCAGGAATTTCTTTTTCCCTCCGTCCCCCCAGCTTTAAAACCAGATAATTTCTGAAATGCAGAAGCATGGTAAACCACAAAAAGAAGGGCAAGGATATGAAGAAAAGAGATATTTCACATGGGAAAGGATAGCACACTCTTATCTCATGTCCATCACTTCTATGGTCCCTTCCCTTTCCCCTTTTCCCACCACTTTCAGTGATCTTGTGCAGAAGTTTAATGCTGAAATGCTGGAAAATGCAGGAGTCAACAAGCATCACCTTGACTCACACTTCACTTGCATCCAGCTACACTCAGAACTTGTACATATTTTCCAGTCAATTAATAAAGCAGAGAAAAAGCAGACCAGATCTTAAAGATTTTATCCATGTTTTCATGCATCTTAAGCAGAGTAGAAGCACTAACATGAAAAAAAAAAACTTAATAGGAAAAGCTAGTAACAACCCCGTGAGCCAGCTCTATGATAAATAACTCAAAAAGCTACTATGGAAGTTCAGGAAATGTGTCAGACTTTATGGCCTAACTCTACACTGTATTTCAAGAGTGAATCAAAGCTTTTTACAAAGAGCAATTACCTCTCATATTACTGCCTTGAGATGCATATTATTTGCATTAGTTCAACAAATGGAAAGTGATTTGTCCATCTAGAGGTGAGTTACTGTTTAATTCCAGGCATTTCACCCTAACTGTTAAAATCAGAGCTTTTACACTGTAAACCTTCCAGCATTTATTGGTTTCTGATAGAGTGGACAATTATTTTTCATAAATACTGGAATGCCCAAACAAGACGAAGTCCAACTGTGTAACTCACTCTAATCGCAACACAGGAACTGAATGATTCAGAATGTGGCCATTTAGCATTTCATACGAATGAGAATTTCCCAAATCTGCTGTACTCTGGCTTGAAGCATTATTTGGATGCATTTAAATTATAAAGTTGGGTTACAATCCAGCACAGAGACTTGCAGAAACAGCAAACAAACCTGCAAAGCTTTTCCTCTTACCAGAAATTCTCTGCACAAATTGGACTCCTGACTGGTCAGAGCCTTTGATCTGTACCTAGATTTTAGCTTTTGATCTAGGATTTTATCCCAGGCTAATCTCTACATATGTATGGTTTTCTGGGGTCACAATGCATGTGCCTAACTGGCACTATCTGCACTATGTAGGAACACGGCCTTGCATGCTTTCAGACCTGATCTGTTCTTCATGGAAACTCACAAAGAAGGTGTTAGCCTCTGCCTGCTGAGCAAACACCACCATCATTAAAAACAGCTGATTATTTTACTATCATTTACTGGTAAACAGATCGTACTACAGCTCCTCATTACATCAGTGAGGTTATTACTATGTCTAAGCTCTGTCCCATTGAAATAAATACCTCCAAGATCTTCCCAGAGCATAATGGGAAACATACTTGGTCACCTTAACCTTAGCAAAGAAACGAAGAAAACATAGTGGTAGTTTGACCTGTAGATTATAGCTAAGAGATGGTTTATCATAAGGAAGAAAAGTACAAATCAGATTGTTGCTTTTTCTGCAGTGAAACACCAAGCACCACCTCCTCAGAGCTCCAGTATCTGAATTTATTTTGAAGCAGCAACCACTAATTCTCCTATAAAATCAATATTTCTATTTTATGGAGAGGTTTCGTACTCAATCTCATGCATCATAAATAAATCTCAGACAGTTGAGAATGACCTCATTTTTTATTCAAGCAGAAGTAGTAGTATGCCATGCTGAGGGAATTGTGTGTTGTGATTAGATTACAGCATTTGTAGTTAAAATATACAACTGGGGTAAAAAAGAAAGAGCTGAAAAATTACTGCCATACTCCTTGGGATTATATTGAACAGGCTGATTGCCATCCTGTCACAAAGCTGTTAATATTATCACTTAATTAACTAATGCTAGTATCTCCATAATGATTTTGCAACACTTTGATGAGAAAATTATACAGCTTACATATTATGTTAGCATTAAAAAACACAGACAACATTAATGCAAAGACTCAGATGCTATCAGATTTCTGGAGGCAAGCATAAGATGTAAAATAATGTCTTTAATAGTCATACCTAAATCTCCAGCAGATTTGATGTCAATATTATCAAAACCACTGCCAATTCGGACAATTATTCGAAGTGCTTTAAATTTCTCCAGGTCTTCTCGTGTTAAAGTGATAGTGTGATACATCAGTGCACCCACTGCTTCATTTAGTACCTATAAATAAAATGGAAGAAAAACACTTATTTTTTTTCCTTTATTAGGATCTCTTCTTAATCACATACAAATATTTTCAGGTATAAAAAGACTGTAAAAAGCATTAAATCCAGGTCTTTCATTTTAAAGGTTATTTCTCCAATTATCTTCCAGCCTCTTGTTAGTCTTTTCCATCTGATGTATCTGTTCTAGCATGATGAGATTAGCTTTAGAAAAACGAAGTGACCAGTATTTGTGTTCTTATTAAGAGGGAAAGCTCTTCTCACTTCGCAGGAGATGCTCTGCAATACTGAACCCTAAGTACGAGCATCACTGGATTGCATCTGCACATGCAGAGGAAACACAAACATGGGAGCAAGCACTCACTGTAAACAGTAAGTATTTTTATGCTTAGGCAGCTGACATTCTGTTCTGAATGGAGTCACAGAACAGTATCTCTTCACCATACACACAGTGGTACAGGCATTCACCACGCTATTGAACCACTTGATGCCTGAATAGAAAACATTCAGCAATCATTACAGAACCCTTAGACAACAGAAACTGGAATCTGTCAACTCATACGTAAGAACAGTGTTTGTCCCTTTACTTTCTGGTACTACAACTAAGCTCTCACTAATGGGAAACTGGATGTCATCTCGGTATAGCAGATGCCAAACTAGACATTTACTAGAGAAAAAAGCACCCCTACGAAATAAGAAATTGTACCAAAGCAAAAATGTTGCAAAAGAGAAAAAAAAAAGCACACTCAAAAAACAAATGCAGAGGATCTGAAAGGTCTGAACCATAGAATTACTCAATGGTTTGGGTTGGAAGGGACCTTAAAGCTCATCCAGTTCCACCCCTCTGCCACTGGCAGGGACACCTTCCACTGAGCAGGTTGCTCTCAACCCCTGTCCAACCCGCCCTTGAACACTGCCCGGGATGGGGCCGGCGCCGCCTTC